CACAGATTTGGTCTGCCAGAAACAATTACAACAGACCAAGGCACAGTTTTTGTCAGCCATCAAGTGGAGGCATTTGCAAAGGAAATGGGTTTCCGTCTGTTAAATTCTACCCCTCATTATGCACAAGCTAATGGGCAGGCGGAAGCTTCTAACAAGGTGGTGATTAATTTGCTTGAAAAAATGGTAGATGACAATCCCATACGCTGGCATGAATTATTGTCTGAAACACTGTGGGCTTATAGAACTTCACAAAGGAGTTCAACCAAAATGACACCTTTTGCCTTGACATATGGCCATGACGCAGTCTTGCCAATGGAGTTAACAGCCAGGTCTTTAAGAATAGCAATTCAACATAATCTCCAGTCTGGGGAATATGATGAGGCCATGATGCTTAAGCTTGAGGACCTTGAAGACACACGTTTGACAGCTTTGGATAGATTGCAAGCTCAAAAACTCAAAGTTGCAAAGTCTTACAACAAGAGAGTAAAAGGTAAAAATATGGCAGTTGGCGACTTGGTCTGGAAAGCAATTTTACCTCTTGGCAAGAAAGATCACAAATTTGGGAAATGGTCTCCAAATTGGGAAGGACCATTCCGAATTCATGAAGTGTTGAGTGGGGGTGCTTATTGGTTAGAGTCACTTGATGGAGAGCTACATCCTAGAAAAATCAATGGAATTTATCTCAAGCCTTATTACCCCATAGTCTGGGAAGCAAGAGACTTAGAGTCCCAAGAAGCTGTCTGAGCCAGGTTCATACTTCTGTCTGTGCATAAATAAGATGATTTGCTTTCATGTGTTTATTCCAAAATGAGAGCAAGTTTGATTGAGCGGCCATGACTGGCTGTGGATGGCTGGATGCGCTCAGACAGAGTCAGTTGCAAAAAAGTTGGAAATACCTGCTGCAACCATCTTGGGATGTAGCAGATTTTGCACGTGGCCTTTGGAGTCTGAAAGGTAATTTAAAATTTAAACACTTGGATTTATTCCCATAAAACCAAGTGTTGGGGGGCATTGTTTACACCTAAAATAAACCAATAGGGTAAGGCCACGTGTCAAGGTAAAGCCCAATTATCAAGAAAATCAATGGGCTAGATTTGGGCTGGATTGGCTTACAATTTAACGGCCCAGACGGATTTCCAAGGAGGTTGGATCCTAGGTGGCAGAAGATAAGATGGGATCTGGTAGTTTGGGTTTGATTTAAAATGGAAATTGAGGATTTTTAGGTAGTTATCTTTAAGGATTAGTTGAGATAAGGTTAAATAAAATTGGATAACTGTCAAGTAACTGCCAGACCCATAACCCCACTACCAGATCATGGAGGAACAGTACCGGAAATCATGGAGGGAGGTAGACAGCACCGAAGCAAAGAAAAACCAGAAGTGGAGGTCAGTTACCGGCCTGCCCAGCATACACACAGACTGCCCAGAGCATGTTTTTCAGATTTCAGCAATAGTTTCCAGATTTCCCAGATTTTCCAGATTTGTTCATAGTCTTAGCCTAGATTTGTTCATCTTTGTTCATATTTTCTCCTGCAAATTCCAATTTAGATTAAGTTTTAAGCATTTGGAAGCAACTTAGCTTTCAAAACAGGTCTGCCCATTTGATTCGGTTAGTTCTTCTTCCTTTTGTGGATTTAATTATGTTGTTTGTTCATATAAATAGGTTGAACATGTTCTACCTTTGTTCTTTGGTTTCTGCACAATATCCAAACATGCAGTTTGTTTAATTTCAATTTCCAGATTTAAATTCACAAGTTTTCAGACTTTAATCATTTCATAGTTTCTTCTTCAATTTTAGTTATCATTATAGGCTGCGTAGTTGAAATCATTGTCTGTTATTTTACTTTTTCTGTTGTCTGCGAATTTAATCTTTATGACATGTTATTTTCTGTTATTTACTTTATATTAGTTTAATTGCCTTAGTATATTGCATTTATTTTAGGATTTGTAGCTTTTATTACACTTGTTTGGT